TGTACGAGTCAGCTGTAAGTCTAGCAGTACCACAGATTTGATGACCGCAAGGAAATGTTTCACGTCGCATTTTATATTATTCATCTTCCCAGCATCACCTGATAATTCTTATTTACAGCAAATACGAGCGGCCACAGACTGGTGTTAACTCGGGATTCTGCAGATGAAACATCTGCACGACGTGGAATCAGTACTTCGGGTGACGAAGCTGAAGGTTGCCACGCCTCTACGCAAGGAATGCAGTGGTTTCGGTACAACGCGTAATGTATTTACCATGTCACGCGGTTATCATAAAGCACGTGGCGTAATATCTAAGTGTAAACGTATGTAACGATTTTGGATCTGTCACTTGAATTGTTCGTAATGTGCGTTGAGCAACACAAATCTGTTCCACACCCTATTTCCGTAAGATCCATTTTAATATTATCCTCCTACCTGTGCCTAGCTCTTGTGAGTGATCTCTTCCCTTCAGGTTTTCCAACATGTGTAATGCCAAGTAGACGAATGTCCTTTCAAGGAGCAGGACTATTTGCAGGCATCGGAAAATAAATTATTTATTTGCAGAGTGTCCATATAATCGTTGTTCACTGTAGGTTCAATGAATTAAAATGAGTATTTCAAACAGGAATTTAATGGAATATCTTGTACAAAAAATGTATCTAAATATTTACTTGAACAAACTATTAAATCATTTCCGAGGAATTAGAGCTCTCGAGTCATACACAAATAGTGCTGACTTAGGCCCTTCTCGCAGAGCATAAGAATACGTATAATCAACTTGAAATGAGTAAGACAAGGCCACGGCCTATTTTAAGACAAGTCCTGCAAGGACTGATGAAACCTCTTGTCAAAACAACAAAAAGTCATATGCTTTTTAAGTATGTAGAATACAATGTAATTAATCTAAATACAGGTAGCCCTCGTTTTGCGCCGATTCAGAATAACGCCGATTTTGAAACCAACAAGTCAAAAAATATATTTTTTACTATTACTTATAACGTTTTAGAATGTATCTCGTACTGATTCTTATACTAAATCGTAATTCTTACGTCGCTGATTTTGAATAAAAATTCATCCCTGCAATTACGTATTTTTCGTCAACGCGAATTCGCTCCAATGAGATCGATAAATCAGAAAAAACCTGTTTGTTAAATGGAAACTTTTGCATATGCAAGTTTGCTCTTATGCAATTTCATTCCTGGCGCTTTAAACTTTCAAAGGACTAATTTAATCTCTGCGGAGGTACCGGGGTTATTTTTACTACGCGATTTTCTGTAGGTCGGCGTCTTACATTTTGAATGCAACTATCGAATAAGAGCAGAGATGACTGTACACATTAACCACATGAAATAATCGCGGGGACCAACGAATTGCCGATTGTAAGTGTATAAAATATATTTTTTAAAATCCCTTTATTTTATTTACGTTATTTCGGAGCTTTAAACGTAATTTCATTATATTACTCGTCAATGTTTGGGTGCTGGGAACGCGTGTCATTGATTTACATTATAAAAGAGTTTCAATTTACGCCGGTTCCGTTTACGCCGGCGTAAATCGAGGGCTACCCGAAAATTCCCTTCCTCTTTCTTTACAGAGATTGTCATTAATGACTGACTTGTTCTTTTAAAAGAATAAGTCAGAGTACTTAGAGAGCGCACGACCTTGGAAGATTTCACTCCTCAGCCTCTATCAAAAAAAATAAGACGTCTGTTCGCTTGACAGAACTCTTTCGAACCATTCAACAATTCCACGACAAATTACAGAATAAATGAACTGATTCCTTTTCAAAAAGGTTATTAAGGCTTGGAATGCATAGCGAAACGTTGCTCACAAACTGATTTCCACATCTTTTTCGTAGAACTTAACATTTGCCGCGGATTTTATCAACGCTTCCTGCAGAAGTTTTACAAAAATTTTAGTTTCTGAATTTTACTTTAAACCTATTAAAATTCTTGCATTACCAAGCGTGTCGCTATAAATTCTAAGAATATTATTTTTTGATAATTAAAACCAAAACCAAATTACCACATTTCTTTGATTTTTAAGACACAATTTTTTTTCTTCACATTTTAAAATTTTCTGAAATCAGGTTGCGTCTCTTACAGTTGACGGCGTCTTCAAACAGAGAAACGCGGCGACTCGGAAAATGAAACTCGCATCACAAATTGCATGAAGCAGCAATTAATTTGTGCAGGTACGTCGTACAGCATGAAAAAGTGAGATTCGACGGTCATTAGGAAGTTTCGTGTAACGTGTCTTAACTATCTGGTACGTACATAAATTAAAATTTAAGTAACAAATACGAGGCATCATCTTACACCTAGTTCTAATAAATGAGTCTCTTAGAGAAAAAATCCACAACTTACAATCAAAAACATTACAAATTTAATACTGCGCATTCATCTCCTCAAAAATAACACTTTTTGGAAATACGTATTTTTTAAAAAGTACGTAAGAAGAATTATAAAATGTTTTAAACACTGAATTTTCAGTGCACGCAGCGAAATTTGTAATAATTCTACCCATTTCTCACATTAACGAAACGGAATCAGGCAGTCGCCCAGGGCATTTTCAAAAAAAATTTATTCCTTATTTTTGGTGTGATCTGATAACCGCATTACGACGTAAAGTCATTTAATTTGAAGGGCTGACACGTATTTTAATTCAGTTGTTCTGAGAAACATTACACAAAAATTACTGTAACTGAATTACGACGTTTAACCTCGAAACACACCGTCGCTGCATCCGAGAGACGGTTCTCGGAAAATGGTCCAACTTCGCGGCGGCCAGATCGCGCTCTAATCTCGATAAGGTTGCGCTGTGAAGTGCACGGCTTCTAAACTTCCGGTGCCTTTGGGTCTGGAGTTTAGACGAAAAATTTGAACGACGCTGGAAAAAATGCAAATCTTCGGTCGCTAACCGACTGGAAATGACTTGAGAGCTGTAACGTCTTTAAGACTCGACAAGATCTCGCAGGTGGACAAAGGAAACTGAATGAACGTGAATACAAATTTTCTTACTGGAATCCTGTTGAGAGAGAAATACGGAAGCTCTTTTCGCACCACAAAGTACATTTTCCTAAAGAACTTCAATGCAAGCTGATGCCTCCATATCTGTTTCGTCTGCACAAATTGAATATTCCGTTAAGCCCAACAGCAAGAATTTCTTTGTAAGTTCCACTTCAGGACAATATCGAAGTGCCCCCGTCAAACTACATTTTATGACGAGGCGCTGTCTTATTTGATGGGAGCATTTTTGAGAGACTTGGACGTAATCTTGCCAGTTCGCGTGGACAAAGCATTGCCTTGCCACTGAGCCTCGCAGTTGGTCGTCGTCTTTAAATCCACCTGAAAAGAGAGAAAACTTTTTCCAGATACAGGGTAGACTTGTTGGTACCTCCCAAGAGTTGTAATCCCATCCCATCAACATGGGAGACCGCGAAACAAGTTTTCGCGGCCGTCAGTCGGCGCTGTTTCGAGGCAGACAGCACTGAACGGAGGAATGATAAAGTTTCGTCTCTAGTGTCAATACTTTGGAATCCATTATCAGTTAATTTGGAAAATTAGGTAATAAGAAAAACAATTTTGAAAACCCTGTTAATCCGAAGACCTCTGCAGTATTATTTTACAATATAACAACATATTGTACTCTGTACCTGCAATTTTTCCCAGATCTTCTTTTTAGGGTTCAGAACGTCGTCCGGTGTACCCGACTCGTAGCCTTCTATGAGCACGCGTTCGCCAGGCGAACTTCCCGCAGGTGGAATTAGTGGTTCCACAGCTTTTGGTTCATCCCTGCAACGTGACAGAAGACAAGTCTGTTAGACGCCATAATCAATATCTTGTTCGTACCCAGATTCACGGAGGACAAAGTGGCACTGGGACAGAGTCCTTCGGTTCTCACAGACATGGTTTTACGCCGTCGTAACAAACAACAAAGTTATCGTAACAATAACGCTCATATGAAGTATTTACGTTGACATTTTGCGTCCGTTCTACTACGAACATCTTGATATCTGAGACGTCAGTGAAAACGTCAATGTTGATCTTCAGAGTTGACACCACATGGACTTGTAAGTAGATACCCAAGTTTCAGAGGAACATACTGCCTCTATTTTCAGAGCTCATTCACATGGCGTTACTATGTAGAAGATCAGCAGTGACACTACGATATTTGTTTACTTACGAAGATGCACAAAGTACCATGCCATTTGACTCAATTCCCCTCATTTTGGCAGGCTTCAGGTTACATAAAACCACCACCACACGGTTTTGCATCTCTTCTATTGGAACATAGTTCACCAATCCGCTTACTATTGTGCGGGGCGAGGATTCACCTGCAAGTGTGTACCATATATATATATTCGGGCATTTACGACCATTTTCTTGCAATTAAGGCGACTTCATAGCCGCAGAATACTTTATACATAAAATAATGTTTGAAACTGCGAAGGAACCATTAATAATGACACGAATCTTCAACTTACCTACGTCTATTTTCTCAACATACAGAGCATCCGCATCCGGATGCTTCGCAACTTCCACAATTTTGCCTATTCGAATATCCAGGCGATGTGGCGATATATCACCTGCAGGTACTTCTAGGCACACAAAGCAAAGCACATTTTAAACAAAATCACGCTTTTCAAAAATGACACTGAATTTTGCTCTTTTAGAATTCTTGAAAATTAAATATATAATTTTTATAATTATAATTACAAAGATAAATTTGTCTCTGGGGAACAACCTCAAAAATCAGACACAAATGATGTCAGTTTTCAAGCAAAAAATCTTTAATGCTGAGAACAAGAACATTAGCTTAAGATTTGTGTCCGTCAGTAATTTTGGAGTCGTCAGGATAAATTTTACAGATTCGATTCACGGACCTTCTGAAGGCAGGTCGGAAATGAAGTAAATCTGGTGAACAGCGCACGATATTCTAGCAGTAACGAGAGCTTACTCGGTTTGCTCGGAGGTGGGTAAGCTTTCTCAGTTAGCATCTTAAGTGCAGGGTCCTCAAACTTCTTCCTTATTGGCTCCAGTAATCTGTTAATGTAGCCCTCAACAGCAGCCTTTAAGTCTCCTGGATGCACTTCCTCTCTTCCGAATGCCAGCTCCAGTTCTTCATACGTTTGATATGTAGCGTCTCCACCATAAGCAGCGTCACGGGAAACTCTAAATCCTACAAAGTACGTGATGCCAATAAAATATTCTTCATCATCTTTCTGACAGACAGAAGGTGAGCCAAGCAGTGGGAGAATGTCAAACATTTATTACCCTCAGCATTCATTTGGTAGGACCTAACAGGACCGAATGGAAGAGGAAACTTGAGGAGGCCGTGGATCGAATACGGACCGGAGAGCCATAGAAGAAGAAGAAGATTTATTTGGTATCGGACATATTCAGTTGTTATAAATCTAGCCCAAAGTTGTATTTTCTTTTAGTTATGTTCTGCTGTTATATTACATCTGTATTATTATTAAATTTTAGAAACCAACTAGCGACCTTCAGTCTTAGAAGTCAGATCTACGGCTTTAATTTGTATGGCTCGCGCGATGGAATTCTTTGAGCTGGTTCCTCACCTTCCAAGCCGTATATTCATCGTCAGCTACAGGACCGTCCGTTTCATTCTTTCATAACACGTAAATATTAGGAAACTAAATTTCTGACTGGCATGCATAAAACAGTGGGTGGGAGGATCATTCGAATCCGAGGACAATATCCGAATGTTTAATGATGCAGACGTGCGATGTTGATAATTACCTTACCTTCATCTTGGCTGAAAAGGTTGAACAAGACATGCTTGACAAATGCCAGCACACCGTTATCAGCCACGTTGCCTGGCTCGCAGAAAGCTTTCTTTAGTTTCTTCTTAACGGCTGCTGGACCATCAAGAAGATCTATCTTACTGTCTTCTTCTGAAGATGACATCTTCCCTCCAGCAAGTCCAGGCACTAAAATTTATTAAGATTTGGATTCAATAACCTGTATTTTGGACACGTGTTCAGACTAATAAAGCAAGACGCCTCCCACTCAACAGTAAATTTCACAGGAAAGAACATCCTGGCTAAAATATCAAATTTTCTTTACCCATCAGTCTGTAATACGCATACCCATTGGGTTCATAAGATGTATCCTCTTTGCATATCCCAGCTGAGGTAGATATTTCTCTGCAAATGTGAATATTTTTCGCTGGTCCACTCCTCCGAATTGAGCGTCCACATGTAAATACTCTTCATCCAACGCTTGTAGTCCTGCATATAATAAATATCATGAAAAAATATTTACGGATATAAACAAGTACTAAAAAATTATGTTTTTAATTACAAATAATATCAGGAAGCTAAAAGAATTGAAATATCAATGATATATTACAATTAGCTTCACTATACGAATAAGAGGAAAAAATATGATGTAAGATTCTTACAACAAATAACAATGATTACGAAATAGTTTACAATTTAAACACGAATGTAGAGGTTATATAAAAATGTATATAGAGATAAATATTTCTTACTGTAAATGGATTATTTCCTTAAACAGCGTTAACCAGTTGATCTTTGTAATGGTGAAGTGCTGTTTTATTTGTGGTACGGACTGAATTATTAAATATTATTTGGACGAGCTTCGGCTTTAGAGGATTATAGCGCGATCACAATATTATCATTAACACTTTCTTATGTGACAGTTATAAAATTACTGAAGACCATAAAAACATAAAAATACTCATCTCATCAGCTCTTAAATTTGATATTTAAACTACTGAAATCTCTTTGATAAAATTAAATAACTTCACTCATAACTAACTAGCTGGCTGAACGAACCCGGAGATTCATCACTGAACTAACCAAAGACCTCCGTCGGACCCTGTCCTGTGCCAACAAAATCCAATCGCCTTCAACTCCTATCTCCTGCAGATCCCACTTGATATTATCCTCCCATCTACGTCTAGGTCTCCCCAACTTCACTCATATAATAATAATTTTTTGAAGTAGAATTAAATGCTTACATGATTAGTTTTAATTAAAATAAGTGTTTAATTACATATTTTCTTGCAACAAAAAATATATTAGGAACAAAACTGCTTCAGTTATGTTTCTGAAACTTCCGATGGAATTCCAAACTTCTCTATGCTAGTATTGTATCAATTATCTCCCTACGGTTGTCCCGCGCCGTATCCGTGCGGTCTGAGGCATCATGCTTCGGACCGGTGACACGGAATGCGCGCTGGTTTGAGTCTCGGAAAGAAATTTCTCATGAGATTTTCGACCGGTGTATGGGACCGGTGCCAACCCAGCATCGTGAGGATATTGGGGAGCTACAATGAGTAGCGTAATCCGGTCATAAAAGCTAGCAATGTCTGGGGGTTCGTCGTGCTGACCACACGTCACCCTATATCTGGTTGGATGATCGTTCACCTCTGCTTAGGCATGTGAACGTGAGGCCAGCGGTCAGCCAGTCGGCTTTGGCTCTCAGAGGGCCGTTAGGTCACGGATTATATATCTCTCTACGGTTGTTTATAAACACATCTAAATTTTGCTACCTGGATAGAGAAGCCCAGATAATAATGGATGTTCAACTTGCTTCACCACTTCGGCACCAGCTTTCTTGGCATCATGCTCCGTAATAACAGAGCTTAGTCTGTACACATCCAAAGTATACTCCCTGCAAAACAAAACATATTCAAAGATAGCGGTCATCATATTCAACTCAGCCTGTTTTGATAATTTTAAGGTTACATTTTCAGCATTAAAAGATGTTCATAATAATGAGTTTGTGAATTCTATAAATTACATGGTCACACTGTAATTATGTAAACTTAACGTGTCCGAACGCAAACCTCGTCACTAATGCGCTTAAATGGAATTCCATGTTTTGTGTAAATTAGGCACCTGGATAGCTGATAATCTGTTCCTTTCACAAACTTCAACTTTTCTAGTGGAACACCAATAGTCTCAAGCATGGCCTTGATAACTTGTTCATAGTACTCTGACCGTCGCGTCAGCAATTCCCAGGGGGCTTTCATGTTGTCCAGGTATGCATGCAGATCTGCAAACAACACTGTCACCTGAAATTTGAAGCAAACAAAAGAATGAAGAAGAAATTAAATTATGGTTAACCCTCTTCCTTGGGGATCTCAAATCTCAGCTGTAAATCCAGCTTCTTTTTGGTTTCCTTCAGTAAATCCAGGCAGAGACCTGGACAATACTATGAAGTTGCCAATTTATAAGTAATCGTTCTGTCATGCAAAATGCTTTTCAGCTGTCGGTACAACTACAAAGCGTAATTTGACATCACAAAGTTATTCATGCCAATGTACAGCAGCACCTTTTATGTGACACGTAACATTTTACATAAACAGCCAAGTACCTGAAAGAAACTGTAAATTTCCTTTGTTTACCTCACAGTTTGCTCTCAAAAAGTCCGCTATTTTAGCCATTGGCACAAAGTAAGCTACATGAGGTTTTCCAGTTGTGGCTGTCCCCCAATAGATTTTTAGGTCTCTTTCCTTCAGCACTTCAATCATTTTCTCTTCCCCTAGTACTTCTTGCAGGTTGCGTGAAATTAGAATTTGTTTATTCTCCCATGACAGAGTATCGCCACTTGGAGCCATGGTGCTAATCTCCTGAAAAGAAAATCATAAATAATCCTATAATTTATCTTTGTATATCTGTAACACATTTCACATTTTAGCCACATTAGATTCCCACCTCCATTGATTTAATGAGTAAGGTGCAGGCCATGAAATGGTCCATGTGCTGTGGGAACTTGTCTTTTTCTACTTGTTTAAAGCTTTGAATATGTTTAAACCAGCGAAGGATGTGTGGTAAGTTCTGTGGAGGAGGAAACTGAGAAGACAAGATTCTATACACATAGCAATCTGCCTGTGTTGGTGAAAACCCATTCATATAGCTGAAGTTGGACAAATGTTCATTCAACTTGCTAAAAAAATCTTGTATATCAGATACATCCATTTCGCCTCAAAAAATACTTCATCAAAGATGTGGGTTTGATCTTAATATACCCATCACCATCTGCAAGCAAAGTTGAAATAATATTACCACAGAGGATCCATAATCACAGTGATTATGTTTTATGTAACACACAAATGTAACATAAAATTGTTTTCTTTGACATGCTTTACTCATCAGGATGAATCTTGCATATAACACTGCAACAAGTTATATTAAATGTGATATGTAGGCCAGCCAATTTTTATTTAAACAGATATTGAAAAATCTATTAAACTGTACGTGTGACTGTTATAATAGAACATTCACGTAGGCTTCACCTTCTTGACGTCAATGTACACAACCAACATACTGAACAGTAACAACAAGAAGGCAACCTCAAATTACCTAACAGCTGTTTCTATTGCCACCAAGACCTGCCGCTGCAGTAACACATGTCCGCATCGCAAAACGAGTTGTTTTTGTTTCGTCTTTCATTATTTGCGATTAGAGGGCAGCAGAAGAGGCACAAGGACAAACGGGTATGTACCTCATAAAGGGGAAATAGCAACAAACATTCCCGACATCTACCTCCAGTGCTGTGCACACTGTAAGCGAAAAATGGGGCTAATGGCCAAGAACCTCGTTCGTTGGAACCAATCACGACGCAGCTGCATATTTTGACATCAAAACCTTGAAGATGGGAACGGAAATGGTTCCCGAAACGTTGATCGTTTCGTGTAACCAATTTATGTTGTAGTTGATTGCAATAGAAGATTTTATTCTGCATATTTCTTGTTTCTTATGTTGGTATTTTGTGGGATGAACAACAAAGAGTCGAACTCCATGTACATAAAGAAAGTCACTCGTGTTTTTACTTTGAAGCACAAATTACAATTTATATATAATTTTGATAATATGAAACGGTACATGCAATGTAACATAGCGAAAGGGCAGACTCTTTATAATATTTACTTCTGAGGACATTTATGAACTTTAAATGTGATTCGGACTTCAGAGGTCTACATTGTAGCTGTTTCATTGTCTGTTGTGAAGTTCGACGATACAGTGTAGTTTTGTGATTGTCGTCAACCTGTTGACACGTAATATTGAGATCATTTGTTGTATGTACGTATCTGTTCTTTCAGTTTTATTTTTCGCAGTTAATTTTCGTCACTGTAAAATCAAATATACAAAACCTACAACTGGGCCCCAGAACTAGTCTGTATGTTGTAGTGATGAGAAGAATACTGCCCTGCTGGGATTTGAACCCTGGTTGCCTAGTGTCTGGTCACTGTATTTAATGAACTATCCCAACTCCAGTAGGCATGTAGTTAAAATCAAAATAATACAATAGAACAGAATTTATTTACATTCCATAGATCCCTCACAGTACAGGTCAAGGATGTGGAGCATTATGTTATGAATATATACATTTTGTGCAATGAAACCTCTCCAAACATAAATCTTATGCCCTTAACAGTAAATGAATTTAAAAGTATAATAAATTCCTTAAAATCAAAAAATTCATGTGATTATTATGAAATATCAACAACTTTACTCAAACCCTGTGCAGACTATGTTATTATTTCTTTAAGTAATGTTTGTAATATTCAATGGCAGTAGGAGATTTTCGAGAAGGACTTACATATTCAGGAGTCAAACCTTTATACAAAGAAAGATGTAACTTGAGACCAATTTAATTACTAACAGTTTTCTCTAAAAGGGATATTACATTTCTTAAATAGTTTTCTGCAAAATACTCTTCCTTTAACATTTGCTATTATTCTGATTACTTTTTTAGATGATACTCTTTTAGTGTCTGCTGAATTTCCCCAGAAGTTAACTCCATATGACACGACCAAATGGAAATAGGCAAAGTAAAGAAATTTTAAGGTCCCTGCTTTCAATAGTGATGTAACTGTCCTTATGGCAAATGATGCCCGAACTTATTTTGGTGAAAATGTGTTCAGCATACTTCTTCTAGTTTAAGTTATTATCAGTTTTTAAAACTAAGAAATTAGTTGTTAATAATTCTTCAGTTGTTTTATCACCATAACCTGTATTTAAATTGATACTTGTTTTGTTCTTGGTAGTCAAATTTCATTGTGTTTGTCTTGTCAAAAATTTAGGCTCGTTTATTGGCTCTAAAACAAGTTGTTCAGGTCAGCAGAGACATCATTAATGGAATTGTGAAAGGAGTCACTGTCAGGATGATAAGTAATAATAATATAATACTATCATCAGTAAAGAGTGTAGGCTTGGATTTGGAATTGATTGTTTGTGGTAGATCATTGATATATAAGAGGAAAAAAGCATTAAACCTTAAGGAACTCCATATTTTACAATGCCCCAGTTGGAACAATATATCATAAAAATAAAGTTATCAGTAGAGTTCTAATGAGTGAATGAAAAATGTTTTAAGAAGTATGTGAAATTAGGAGAAGAACGATTATCCTGTTTTTCAAAACTGTTGAAGATTGAGATTTATAAAACAATAATTTTGTCAGTTGTTTTGTATATAGTCTTGAAACAGATCTTGAACTCTGAGTCAAGACCACAGATTACAAGTTCTTGAGAAAATATTTTAACCCAAGAGGGATGAAATAAGTTAGTAGTTTTGGATATTACAGGAAACTTCAATAATTATAAATGCTACTCGAATATTGTATGGATAACAAAATCTGGGTGCTTACGGTGGGCTAGACATGTAGTTTGAATGGCAGAGGTGAATGCAGTAGGAACAGTAGAACAGAAATGAAGATTGATGATTAAGAGCATATTATCTCAGTTATAGAATTTGATTTACATATTTATTTATGCATGTTTTTGATATATTAAGCTTATCAGTGAATGTGATGTAACAGTAATGAAACACACTGAGTTCACTTTTTGATGACAGAATGTTTCTGTGTACTTTGTCATTTTAATCTTAATGTTCACATGTACGTTGATAAATCTGTGATAAGAGATGGCATAATAAATGTTTACAGCCAGTAACTGGTTCTGCAGTCATTACCAGTTAGTTATTCTGTCTTGTGGTGTCGTGATACGTGTATGGATATTATTTGATTGATTGGGATTGTGAGAATAATCCTTTGACGCCAGTCTGTGTGACCTTCTTGCCCATCGTGTACCCCTGACATTGGTAAGATTACATTTATGGGATCTAAATATTTAAATGTCGGAGATGTAGTGATCGATGTGCAAAGAAGATAATATAATTATTTGTAGATCAGTTTCAATGTGTTTATAAATCTTGATTTTCTTTGTGTCTGTGTTAGGTGATGCTATAATGGCAGGCCTTGTCTCGTATGTGAAGCGTTCTTCAGTCTCTCACCTCCTCCTTGCCATCACTTTTTTTGTGTCTGGCTTGATCATCAATCTCATACAAGCCTTGCTGTACTGTGGACTTCGCCCCTTCAGCAAATACTTATACAGAAAAATCAACTATTATGTCTGTTATTCACTCTATTGCCGTAAGTATAGAGTACAGCTTTTATTTTTCGGGTTCTTATGGTGACGAGTATGAAGACGGCTGTCTTCTGGGATGTTGTAAATCATTGTCCTGATAATGGAGTGGCAAGTTCCTCTGAAATGTCAGTAAAATTCTGCCAGACTGCACGCCACAACACCCCAGATGGCAGTTACCCACAATGCTCTTGTCCTATGGACTGATGAAATCAGGGATGTCCAGAATGTTTCCTGTTAAGATGTCTTATTGTTACCATCATATTAATTTGATGAAGTTATTTTGTACTGAGTGTGCACAGGTACTGAAAGAATTGTCTCTCATGTCTTGTGTTGAATTTCCTGTTTTCACAAAGGCTGTGGCATTATAACGCTACATCCGAAGTGGAGAAAATGCTGCTGTAATTAGTTTCCATATTTAATTTGAATTTTATTTTATTTTATTGGCAATCAGGAATGTGATGTATATAAGCCGTATGTTATGTTACTCCCACTGACAGCCTTGAGGAGATGTACCTGTTTCTAGTGCAAAACCCCTGATGCCTGCTCAGTTTCGTTTAACTTTTGTATGCGTCGTGCGTAACGTGTTTTGATTTTAGCTGTACAAGTGTGTCATTTCAGAGCTGGTGTTCATGGCAGAATGGTGGGCATCGACAGATCTGATAATTTACATAGATAAAGAAGATCTAGAGCGATACTATGGCAAAGAACACGGGTTTCTTATAATGAATCATCGATACGAAGTGGATTGGCTCATGGGATGGGTTCTGTGTGATCGAGTAAATATACTTGGAGTGAGTTGGTAACATTCTTGATACTCGCTTTGTTTTGTGTGTTTTGATATGTCTTGTGCATGTGTTTTTATTCATTCTGCAGGGCTTTACCTCTACACAGTAAGAGGGCTGTGATGAGAAACGGTTAGTACTTGGTGTTTTATTAATCCCTTTGTACCTTTGATTACACTGTATTCTTATGTTAACTGGCTTGTTAATATCAGTGTCCTTTATATATTCATCAAATTATCTGCGGTCACAGCTGCATTTATTTGAAGTTATTACTAATGAAATTACCGCACTGAGTGCAGCAATGGGAAACGAGGCTAGAGGAAGAGAATATACATGCAGAAATACGTGCAGGACTTCACATTAAGTGTCTGTCACTGTTGTCTGTACTTCGTGAATAGACAGACACATACAGATATAGGAGAGCGCATACGCACGTGTTCTCAACTTTTCACTGAGAAAATACCTAAATTTGTCTAAATGAAAAGCTAGTTTTTAATAAGAGTGTTGAAACTTCCACATGATAAACAGTTGTAGACATTTATTTATGTAAGAGTAATATATTTATATCTGATATTATGTTAGCATTTTAATAGACATTGTGTCACTTGAAAGCACGCTCTCATCTGCCATGTTGCCAGTTACTGACCACATAATCACGTTAAAGTTAAAACTGAAACAGCGTAAAGAAAGATGTGGCACGTACATGATGTTCTTTAATCGCCGTATACCAAAAATGCGTAATTGATGAAATGGTTGCACTGCTTTTCTTTATTTGTTTTTCTGTATTTTTCTAGAACTGCAAAACATATGCTAAGAAGTCAATTCAGTATGTGCCAACGATGGGTTGGGCATGGATGTTTGCAGAGAGTGTTTTTCTAGAAAGAAATTGGGAGAAAGACAAAGAGACCATAGGGAGGCAAATAAAGGAACTCGTGGAGCATCCTTATGAAGACGGCTGTCTTCTGGGATGTTGTAAATCATTGTCCTGATAATGGAGTGGCAAGTTCCTCTGAAATGTCAGTAAAATTCTGCCAGACTGCACGCCACAACACCCCAGATGGCAGTTACCCACAATGCTCTTGTCCTATGGACTGATGAAATCAGGGATGTCCAGAATGTTTCCTGTTAAGATGTCTTATTGTTACCATCATATTAATTTGATGAAGTTATTTTGTACTGAGTGTGCACAGGTACTGAAAGAATTGTCTCTCATGTCTTGTGTTGAATTTCCTGTTTTCACAAAGGCTGTGGCATTATAACGCTACATCCGAAGTGGAGAAAATGCTGCTGTAATTAGTTTCCATATTTAATTTGAATTTTATTTTATTTTATTGGCAATCAGGAATGTGATGTATATAAGCCGTATGTTATGTTACTCCCACTGACAGCCTTGAGGAGATGTACCTGTTTCTAGTGCAAAACCCCTGATGCCTGCTCAGTTTCGTTTAACTTTTGTATGCGTCGTGCGTAACGTGTTTTGATTTTAGCTGTACAAGTGTGTCATTTCAGAGCTGGTGTTCATGGCAGAATGGTGGGCATCGACAGATCTGATAATTTACATAGATAAAGAAGATCTAGAGCGATACTATGGCAAAGAACACGGGTTTCTTATAATGAATCATCGATACGAAGTGGATTGGCTCATGGGATGGGTTCTGTGTGATCGAGTAAATATACTTGGAGTGAGTTGGTAACATTCTTGATACTCGCTTTGTTTTGTGTGTTTTGATATGTCTTGTGCATGTGTTTTTATTCATTCTGCAGGGCTTTACCTCTACACAGTAAGAGGGCTGTGATGAGAAACGGTTAGTACTTGGTGTTTTATTAATCCCTTTGTACCTTTGATTACACTGTATTCTTATGTTAACTGGCTTGTTAATATCAGTGTCCTTTATATATTCATCAAATTATCTGCGGTCACAGCTGCATTTATTTGAAGTTATTACTAATGAAATTACCGCACTGAGTGCAGCAATGGGAAACGAGGCTAGAGGAAGAGAATATACATGCAGAAATACGTGCAGGACTTCACATTAAGTGTCTGTCACTGTTGTCTGTACTTCGTGAATAGACAGACACATACAGATATAGGAGAGCGCATACGCACGTGTTCTCAACTTTTCACTGAGAAAATACCTAAATTTGTCTAAATGAAAAGCTAGTTTTTAATAAGAGTGTTGAAACTTCCACATGATAAACAGTTGTAGACATTTATTTATGTAAGAGTAATATATTTATATCTGATATTATGTTAGCATTTTAATAGACATTGTGTCACTTGAAAGCACGCTCTCATCTGCCATGTTGCCAGTTACTGACCACATAATCACGTTAAAGTTAAAACTGAAACAGCGTAAAGAAAGATGTGGCACGTACATGATGTTCTTTAATCGCCGTATACCAAAAATGCGTAATTGATGAAATGGTTGCACTGCTTTTCTTTATTTGTTTTTCTGTATTTTTCTAGAACTGCAAAACATATGCTAAGAAGTCAATTCAGTATGTGCCAACGATGGGTTGGGCATGGATGTTTGCAGAGAGTGTTTTTCTAGAAAGAAATTGGGAGAAAGACAAAGAGACCATAGGGAGGCAAATAAAGGAACTCGTGGAGCATCCTGATCCTATATGGGTAAGCAGTGCAGTGAAGGGATGTTTATTATTGAGGTATCAGCATATAACATGCATAGACTTTCTGAACTCGCTCTGGGCTTCCAAGCAGCTGTGTTTGTAAATACACACGTTATTGTAACGTGCAGTCCAGTTAATGTCAGTATTAAAAAATCACTTATACATTTTATTCAATATATGCATCAGATGTACATATTACTGTCAATATGAAGATTCAAATAATTCCAAAGCTAGTCATGTTGTTTCGTCTGTCCGTCTTTCCAGTGGATTAAACTCGAGAGCCACTGGACGGATTTGGGTGAAATTTGATGTGGAGGTAGTGCTATTCTGCACATCCTCAAAATTGTACTATTTAATATCCTACTAGAAGTGATGACATAATGACGGATGAGGAAAGTTGTTAGTTGGCGAGGCACTGTCATGCGGTCGCTAAAGTGAGAACTATCGAACAAGGCAGATTTAATGTCGCTGAATGCACGTTGCAAAGAATGCATGAGGATATTACGTGTATTCCGGAATGGAATACACTTTCCAAGCTTGTTTTGATCGATATTTTGGACTCAAGACGCTTTGTCATGTATGTATATGTTATTAAAATACAGACTTTCTTCTGTTGTAACAGCTACTGTTGATGGCTGAAGGCACTAGATTTACAACAGAAAAACATGAAGCAAGTAAAAAGTTTGCAGAAGAGAAAGGTCTGCCAATATTAAAGCATCACCTTACACCTCGAACTAAGGGCTTTACCACCAGTTTGCCCTATCTCCACGGGAAGTTTGGCGGTATATACGACGTTCAACTCTCATTTAAACAGTATGTTGGCAACGGAACCAAGTGTTCTGTAATATTTAATTTAATTTTAAAATTAATTTCAATCACAAAATCTTAAGATAAAAGATTTCTTGGGAGACCTAGTAATATTAAAATGTATTTTATATAAGCAAGATGCAAGGGTATGGACTTAATTCTGTCTGGCTTAATGTAGTGGCTGGTGAACCCTGTAATGATCCTTTAAATTCTATAAAATACAGGGATTTTAGTGAAGAGCTGAGCAACTGCTAGTTTTTAAAGAATGACTGTGCTTCATGTAGTGAGTTAATTAGCTGTTGTAATTTGTAATGTATGATTGATTGTATGTCAGAAGTACATTTACACAAAATATTCACCTCTATTTGATCAGAATATTGATAATTCAGGGGTGAAAAACCAACCATAACGGACCTGCTGCTGGGAAAGAGGGTGCAGGCTCATCTTTATATTAGCCGTATTCCTTTGGACAAGGTTCCGGTAGAAGAAGAGGCATGCGCACAGTGGCTATACCAGCTGTATCAAAAGAAGGTAGGTCTGTCACTGTAATTCTGCACGTTTCACTGCATTTTTGAACAAAGGTAGGGCTGCCTTGGAGGTAAGGGGCCGTCATGATGATCGTATCAATCTCCGTATTTTAGTGTACTCCGTTGTTAAGCTGTGGACGTGACAAGTCATACTCTGTGATAAATTGTATTTTTTATTCATAGCAGTAGGCAGTAAAGGTCCCGGAACAGACTTGATATAATACAGTTACCACTGTCAGTAAGTGTTAGTGTAATTTATTGCAGTGTTCTACGTAGTGATGAGTATGTCAGTGTTCCCGAATTTCATACGTGTTGTTCTTACTTCCAGGATCGGATGACTGACAGTTTTTTCCGCACAGGAGACTTCTTTGCAGAGAGCGGCGTCGAGAAGATCGAAGGTTATCGCCTTCCTCGACGTTATTACAGTCTGATCAACACAGTAGCTTGGGGGTTTGTGGTGTTGGTCCCTATAGTGTATTACCTGCTACGATTACTTACCTCAGGGTCCACCATATACATCTCTGTAGGAATTGGCATCATAGGCATATGTGAGTATAAATTCTGAACGGGTGTATATTGTTTTTGCCGTTCATGATAGTGTGTCAGCTGTTTTAAGCATTACTGGGAAACTGGTTACGTACTGACAGACTTATGCATGGGGACAGCAGGGTAAAGATCACTGTCTAGTTTCTGTTGCAGCTAATTTAAAGCAATTTGCAGGCCACATGTCAGATCTGTCAGGACTTGTCAAAACCTGTCCCAACCCGTCCAACCCTTTCTGAACCTGACAGAACCTGCCACATCATGTTCAAATCTGTCACAATTTGTCCAATCCTGTCTGAACATGTCCAAGCTTGTCCAGCCCTATCTCAACTGATGTATGTCTAATTCTCTGAAAACACACCCAAACATGCCCCATACTTTCTGGACTATATAATGAGAGTGAGCTGAGTTGTTTTATGTGCGTCAGTAACTTTACTCAACCGTGTTTCCGCTTTCAGTTTCCTTGCTGTTATCAAAAATGATTGGTATGACAAAAATCAGCAAAGCGTCATCATATGGGAAAACTGCCACGACCCCAACAGAAACAAAGGACTCCCCAAGTGCCACCAAGAAGACTGATTAAACATCGCACAAATCCCTTACTTTACTTGCCAAAATTTATTCCTGGGATTAAGGGTTTTAAAATTCTGCAGGTAATGCCCAAGCATTGTAATAGATTTAATTAATTTTGTGTCCTGTTATCATGAAAGAAGTTTTCTGTACTTATTTCATGTTGACGTTAGCCCAGAAAGCAACAGAAATATGCATGCAATGTTTGGGTTCCTGTTGGTGTTGGTAACATTGACTAATATTAACTGCATGATTCATCATTTACAAACAAACATTCAGAACTGATAAATTTTTCAGTGGATTTCTTTCTTTTCTTACTGCATGCATAAGTTTAAGTAATTGCAGCTATAATAAATCACATCTGAATTTTGTGATAAGCTGTTGGAAATTTTTGTTTTATTATTTTGTTGTAGGTAGTAATAAGATGGTACATTTCTCTTTTGCTGTGTTTATGAAGACAGTAATAGATGTTTGGATGTTTACGAAATATGACTTGGACTGGAAGTAATCATATGTGGTCTATTTTAATTGAGGTTTGTTAAAAAAAAACTAATATTAATTCCAATAAAACATTTAGTCATTATTCAGTCAAGGAATAAAATATTTGTTAACCTTATAATGTGCACAAAATATTTAACACAGTATTAATGCAGTTATGTATTACAATAACTTAAATTGTCCAAGTTGTAATATAAAGAAGTTGTTATTTTTGTACAAAATGTTATGACAAAAATATTTTGCTCGTACCCTACACTCTGCGAGACTGTAATAAAATTACGGTTTGGAGAAAGAAGTCATTTTGGAATCCTTATTGTACCTCCCATGATAAACATTACATGCTATACAGCAGTGTCCTTATCCTCAAAGGTGATTTGTTCTCTCGCCATTGATGAAAAAAGTAGATAGGCTTATGAATGACAATGTAATGAAAGTCGTGATGTTAGTTGCGTTACTCTGAACATTCTTACAATAATGACATAATTCAATTTCAAAGTGCCACAGCCTCCTGGTATTACTTCTTCATGCAAAGTACTGTGCGTCATTAGTGGCGTTGTTTATCGAAACATATACTGTAATCACTCTGTTTCAGAACAGTAGAACTAGCCCCAAAAATCCTATATATTATTTGGAACTGGTGAATGGAAATTTATAGAATGCTCCTGATTCTCTGGGCATAAGCCCTTGACTTTCAGACTGGTTCTGTAGTTACAGAATGCTTAGTCATAAATTTTTCCTAATTTATCTTGTAACTTCCAATAATATAAAAACTTCCGATACAAATGTTTCTATGTTTGAAAGTTTGCAGCTGTTGTCACATTGTTTTTTTTCCCCTTTCTTTTTTTGAAGAATTTTGTGCAAAGAAATAATATTCCAGAACTTGTTTAATAGCTAAAGGCCATGTTTCTAAATTAAATTTATCTTCTCGAAAGTAGTATTCATTTTTTTTTAATCATCAGGGTTATGACTCTGTGGTTGCATAGATGGTTACCAATGATTTTGAAGAACTTGTGCCTCCATCTTCAAGGTAAAAGTAAATCAAGCTAGGATGTGATTTGATAGTGGCACTGACCCAAAATTCTTACTGCCATGAAAACCTCAAATCTCAGTCTCCAGCCGAGTGATCACAGTAGTTTCAGCAGTCTTGTCACTTGCTGAAACACTTTATTAATCTTATTTCAGGATGTCAAATCCCCTTTCCTTTTGAGTATTTTTCAGTTTGGGGAACAGAAAATGTCACTAGGTGTTAAATCTGGGTGGGACACCATCACAGTTCTAGTCTAGTCAAGAAAGAGCCCGTGGTTTGTCATGATGCACCATCGATGAACCACTGTAGCTGTGCATACTAAATCTGATAAGAAGATCATAATTTTATTAAAATTAGTAAATATGGCAGCAATACATGGTTTTTAGATTTAAACCTGATTATTTTATGTTTGAAGAATTTTTACAAAGGAAGATTATGATCAGAAATAGGTCAGAAGCTAAGTTATATACTAATTTATGATTTCTGTATATTTAAGATTTTCAAGAAATGTAGTTATTACAACTTTTTTCCAGAATACTTATTATAGGTTATATGCTTAAAATATCCATTTCCAATTCTGTGTTGGACTGAGGTAAGCTTTCAGTAATTGTTTTTATTTGTGAGGTCTAAAAAGTTGATATATATTTTGACGCGTGTGTGTCATTCCATCTGGTTCTACAGTCTGAAGAATTTATGAATCGTTTTCCTGGTACAAAGCTTTGGCTGCTGTTCTGTTATGAGTATAATTTACTAATTTGAAATTATGCTAGGAAGTGTGTTACACACATCATGTTTCTATGGTGTTATCTTTAAAAATATGGCACAGTTCTTAAAACTCATAATTTTGATTTTAAGTATAAAATGTCTGATCACAAAATATCAAGTCTATATGTGAAACCAAGATACTGTGCGTTATTTTAAGTTTACGTTACTTTACCATTACTTGTTTTGAAATATACATGCTCATCTTCAGGTCGATATCCACGTATATGATGTTACATGTTTCTTACTGATTTTGCGTGATGGTTCTGTACCATGTCTGTTCACATGTATTGGCGGATGGTTTTTTTAATGAAGATTCATTGAAAGTGTTACCGAATTTCAAGACAAAAATGTGTATTTTTGATCCAGTTCTAAAAGCAATAATCAAAATATTACTTTGCACATCATAATGAGTTTATAGATTATACATTCCAGGTGACAAGATGGAACAAGGATGCTGGGAGTTCAAGTTATCCTCAGAACTAAGATGCATGCTTTAGAAATCAGGAAATCATGAATGGGATCTTTATTATAGATTGATATTTCGGGTTCTCATGCCAGTGAGTATGAGGATGACTCTTCTCGAATATTGCGCTGTGTAATCTCGTAGAAATTGACCAGTGTTTCATCAAGGTGATAATGGAAGCACTAAGCACCCCTGAAACATCAGTCATTTTCTATGAGACTACACAGCACAACATCCCAGAGGGCTACTGCAGACTTTTATTGTAAGACCATATTTCAAGTAATGTCAGCATTATAGGGTGTAATAATCTCAACGATATGTTTGAAGAGTGATGGTGAATCTTTTATGTGTTAGAATATCAGTATAATAAATGTTTCTTTATGTAACTGAACACATTTTCATGAAAAAAAGTATATTATGATTTACTGAAAATGAAAAAAAAACTATTGTATTGGGCAGGCAGACTGTTATAAAAGCCTTTGATATGCAGTATGTTTTTTATAAGGGGTTTAGTATATAAAATTAGTGTACATAAAATATCAGGTTTATTGAAGAGAGAAAATGATAGAATATCAGTTTATTCTGTTTTGGGGTAGTTAATACTGAGAAGACGTTTTGTTCGATTAATGGAATTTGATGCGGTCCCACCCCTAGATTACAAAATATTTTACGACTTGTTATTCCATGTACAACTGTATGTAATGTATGAATATGCTTGTGCCCACAGGTTGTCTGGATCCAGTACAAATATTAATTAATACTTATGCTGATGTGAAATTCATTTGGTCCCACATCCAGAGCCCAAACAAAAGAATGTAAACATATTAGTCTGTGATCTAGCACCAGATTTGTAGTGTACCTTACTTCATTAAGTGTTGCAAAGCGTAAGACAAAGAATGAACAGACAAACATCAATAGCTTTGTGTCTCACTTTAACGACTTGACTGGAGGGCAGTTGTACGTTAATATGTGTTGGAATATTTTACTCTGTTACCATGTTACTGTTATCAGTTTATCAGAACAAGGGATTGACTTTTATTGCAAATTATCTTTACATCCAAATACTGCATTTATATTAATCTGTTGTTGCTACACACTGCACTTATTTGAGCACTTTTACCTTATAAATTGTATATATAACAAACATAGTGAGATTTCAGGTCCTTATGGTTGCAAGCGTGAAGACGACTGCCTTCTGGGATGTTGTGCTGTGTAGTCTGATGGTGATGGAGGAAGTAAGTACCTCTGAAACACTGATAAACTTTTGCCTAACATTGTCACTTAGAAATGGTGACAATTCTGAAGACATGTTATTTGAATTTTCTGCTTCAAGTGATCTCGCCCTCATTAAGTATTACTAGAGCTTGTAATTGCCTTGTAAAACTATGTAACTGAGAACTGAAACAGCATCATTAAGTGCTATCAGACACTATGTCTTCCCATTTTTGGGCCCGTGGCAGTCAATCGAAAGAATGTCATATTTCTGAAAATTTAATCTACAAAACAGACAATAAAGTGGCCAAATAATAGTTCATTATGTGACAAGTTTAATTGTAGGTACAGTTTTTACTGTGAGGCTCTGGATATGGGTAGGTGATTGCTGTATAATATGTAACTTTATATACCAATACCCACAATATGCATGACCATGCTGAAACATATGTTTTAACATATTTTGTATTTACTGTGTATGGTGTTAGTCATATATAAATAAATATGCTGTAAATGAAAATATATTTTCATAGAAAAGATAATTTTAAAAATTGTTATATGACACTACTGTTATCCATGTCAGCTGCATGCAACATGAATTTTGTAATTTAAGGCCTTCAGTATCTCGTGTAAATTTACTGTTTATTTAATAATGGCTTATATAATAATTTTAAAGATGTTCACCATTACTATGTATTTTTGAACACATGATGATTGCTTTATACAAAATTTATGTATGTATAATTACATCCTCTCACCATTTCAGATTTTACTTTTTACTTTACAATCGCTATTGAAATCAGTGCAGTTTCCACTGACCACTCGACTTTGAGTATAATATTGGCAGGGGCTTTGCCTTGAAGATGGAGACAGTATGGAACTCCAAAAGGTGTGCAAGATGGCCCACATCTGCATGGTATTATCACTCTAAAAGGATCAACATTTGCATTAAACAATCCTGAAAGGTTAAAGTAAAAAATTGAGAGGTTAATTACAATTAATAATTATAAAGACATAATTTTCATTCAAGATCTGTCAATCACGACTTTCATTAATACACAAACATAGAGCTTTTTCTATCTGTAATCTAGTTAACACTGATTCAGTGCATTCCAGTAGGAGTATTTTGTGTAAAAATTTTATAGTAATTTACTTTCTAAAGGGACTACTTATGTTTAAATAACTTCTCTGTTTGATGGTTACATTGTACACAGGTTTATTCAGATTGCCTATAAGTTACTTTGTAATACCAAGGTTTAGAAAGTATTCATTTATGAGAAAAGAATTAAAGTCAGTGGTGAGAGTGAGGAGAGGAAAATTGTTGAAATTGAATACAATAATAGTTACTTTATCAGCTGAGCTATCGTTTCTACCATTCCAGCATTACCCTTGTCTGAAGATAGATGACAGAAGAGTAGCTATTCCGATGTATATGTTTTCTCCGTGCATTCGTAGAGGTTGTGTTGGATTTGAATGTTGGAGTACATTTATAAAAACAGACTTCGTGCTGTTGTGTGTTTTTATGTCGTAATAACATGGGTGAATGTTTTAACGAAAACGTATTCGGAGACTGGGGAAGCGATCCCAAGAAGCTGGGTAATCCTATTAAGCCGATTGAGGTTAGTTCTTTGCGTAGAGTATACATTGATTTCGCAGTGTGGACTACAAGTCCATGAAGCATAGTTCTTCTTGAGAAGCTGATAGTTACTGACTCAATTACCAACCAACAATTAAGAAGTTCCCTGCGTTTTATATAACACCAAGGGGCATTACCATTTTCGCAAAAGCGCAGTACTAGCTCCTATCATAAGCCAGTTGAATGCAGACCATAACATTGCTTATATTTTTTTATCCTCCCATCTCCTCGTAGGTTTTATACTAAAAGTTTGTATGTATTTTTCAGCTTTCCCGTTCGTATTACATGCTTCACCCGTCAAATTCTTTATTTGGGCATCTGAGTAATATTTGGTGAATTATACAAATTTTGAAAACCCTTGTAAGCTTTTCAGCCTTTTGTTACTTAATGGTCCATATATTATGAGCACCTTGTTCTCAAACACCTTAAATCAATTTTTGGATTGTGGTTTTATGAGTCTGTAAATGGTTACCAATGTTTCGAGGAATATGCTTCCGCCATCTTCTGCCATATCAAAACTAGAAGAACAATTAATTATTTGCTGCTATGAAAGCCTAAAATCTCATCCTTAGTTTATATTTTTACCTTGATGTGAGAGACCAAGTTTCACACCCACGTGAAACAGTGGGTGAAATTATAGTTTTGTGTATGTCTCCCTGATGGAAAGACTTATGCTTCTAAATTGAATGGTAGGAAGTATATTCCAAATTCAAACTGCTCTTAATCTCATTGTGAATACTTATTTACTGTTGTCCCAGATACTTTTTAAAGGATTCATTATCTTTACATCATGATTTCTTTCTGTATTCTGGTGATGAGATATGAATACATACTTAGTTTCACGTGTGTTTATTTCCAGGCCTCCCGAACTAGCATCCAAATGAACTTTGTTTTTCATATGATATTTAAGTTTTAACCTACAAAATTAACATCTAGTGGACAAGAAGCTGCTGTATCCTATTTAATTTCAGTATCTCCTTATTTTCTTAGACCTTGTCAGTCGTGTGTTCAAGAGCATATTTGAAAAGTAATGGTGATAAAGCATCTTCATGTTTTCAATGCTCATTATATTGTCTGTGAACTTACCTGATTTTGCAGGAGAAGTGGAAATTGGTTCCAGCATTTCTTAAGGTAAAAGGCTTAGTGAAGCAGCATATAGATTCTTTCAACTATTTCATAAATGTTGATATCAAGAAGATTGTCAAAGCCAATGAGAAAGTTATCAGCGATGCTGATCCTTTATTTTATGTGAAGTAAGTATTGGTACTGTAGTATTATATACGTTTAATTTCATACACTTGCTGGTTGCAAGATATTTGATTGTGCATGTTGCATTCAAAGAATAAATTAATGGAATTGGTAATAAACTTTTAAGATATATGTGAGAAGTTGAAAGCTCTTGTCTACAGGCTGTGCAGGGCTCCAGATGTAATACACACACTTAATATTAAACATAATTTTTAGTTCATGTTACATGTTCCACATAAACTTTAGATTCAAATTAATTTCATTGTGCTCTCTGGGTTACTTTGTGATGATATGATGCATTATTTAGGTGACAGTTTAAAAGATTTTGTAGGAACATATTTTCTCTTTCTTCAGGGTTGAATATGAAAGTGACACATTTCTCTAAAATGGTGCTCACTACCTAAAAAGATTACACAAGACCACATTCCATATCTTTACCACCATGAGATAATTTTATTTCAGGTATCTGAATGTCTGTGTTGGAACACCAGATGTTGAAGAAGCGTATAATATTTCCAAGAGTACAACTCCACATGAATGTAGGCTCCGTGATATGACATACTCAGCTCCCATTACAGTAGATATAGAATACACACGCGGGAATCAGCGAGTTGTGAGAAATAATCTGCTGATTGGCAGGTGAGATTAATCTTTCTAAAATATATTGGGATCTTATACCTGAATTGTCTTGTTCTTTGAGATTTATGCTTCAGTTCAAAGTAAGTCACTAAATCTTATTTCAAGATCGTAACTCTCCAATAGTTTGAGTATGCTTGTTATTGATACTGTTATTGGCTTAGTTCAGTTGTAATAGGCTTGAACGCATGTGTGTCTATCACATTTGCAATAGTTTCTGTAACAGGAACGAATGGATGTCCAGTTGTGCACAGAAGGGTCATTAGTTTGTTTCAAATCCAGGAAAATTGCCTGAAATAGCATACAGCGTTCATAATTTAAAATTATAACTCTATCTCTAATATTGGGTTACCCTCTGCAGTCTCTGTAATTTTGTGAATTTGGAAACCAAAATATTTTGTTCTTCCTAGCAAGCACGTGATTCAAAATGTGAAATAGAATCTGTTTCTGTATGCTTTACAGAATGCCTATAATGCTGCGTAGCTGCAATTGTGTTCTAGCTGGAAAGTCTCAGTTTGAACTGGCAAAAATGAATGAGTGTCCACATGACCCAGGTGGTTACTTTATTGTTAAGGGACAGGAAAAGGTGAGTTGTGTTCAATAACACTGCATCCGACTACATAGACATGCTCGTATTTGATAATGAATGCCGGATTGTCAGAATGTAGTGCTTGTCAGATGTAAGTTTTTCAGTTCCGATAGTAGACACGTTTTGAATTTAATCAAATTATTATTACTGTACTTTCTATCCTTAGAATCTTTTCAGGCACTGAGTAAGAATTTCAGGCTTGGCTTAAATTGTGTTAAAATTATCCAAAGCGATGATTAGGTTAGTACATCTGTTACTTGCGTAATCATTTCGTTATATAGGTGATCCTCATTCAAGAACAGTTATCACGCAACAGGATGATAGTGGAAGAGGATCATAAGGGAGGAATTCAGTGTCAGGTCACCAGCAGCACTCACGAGAAGAAGTCCCGAACCAATTTGGTCGTGAAGAACGGAAAGTATTACCTCAAGCACAACACTCTTCAGGATGTACGTGTAGTAGCAACAGAAACTTCAGTAACTTCGTGCATTTATTCTTGGGTTATTTAATGACACAGGCTGGTGTTGCTCGGTCAGTTTTGTCTCTGACTGTGGACTGGTTGACCAGGGTTTGAAACCTGGCAGGGGCAAGGAACTTTTCTTCTAGCCCCTGCGTACAGGCTAACTTTGAGGCCCACTTACTCTCCTATCCAATGGGTATCAGTAATCCTTTCCCTCAGACAAAGTGCAGCCAGTGCGTGATGCTTACCACTCACCTCCATCTATCGCTGAAGTCAAGAATGAATAGGAGCTATACCTCTTCTCCCTCCGAGCATGGCATGTAGCAGGACAACTTTACATTACTTTATTTAGTGACACATTTTGTTAGTCGCTTTAAGTAGTGTCAAGTGGTAGGATTAATTTATTTATCTAGATTTCAAATTGTATGATTTGGTTTTATTGACATTTCAAAGTTAGGATTTTAGTCAGTACTTTTAGGATGTTTAATTTTAATGTGATTAATTGTTCAAGAAAATTAATTTATTTATAGGACATACCAATTGCAATCATATTTAAGGCAATGGGAGTGGTGTGCGATCAAGAGATCGTGCAGATGATCGGAACGGAAGAGCACATCATGCAGCGATTTTCTCCTTCTTTAGAGGAATGTCATAAGGCACAAATATTCACACAGAATCAGGCTTTGAGGTAATGTACTTATTTCTGATCCTTCAAGAAAATTTTATTCCATGTTAGTGAAGTTTTTTCCATGACAGAGGTATAAGATACGTTGACGTTTGCCACGTTACAGGTACGAAAGGCGACGACTGTAGATGTATCGGGAATAGTTCAGAAATGTGTAAATGTATCTTAATGCCTTTATGTTCACAGAAAGGTTAAAAGAAATTAAATTTGTTGCTTGTAATACTTGTGGCAGAAACATGGCATGCAAAGCTAAATAGACCATTTGTTTTTAGACGTACCGTGTTTTAGGTTCTTGGGTTTAAAAACTAAACAAAAGAGATACTTCTCTCCTGGTCCAAAGAAGTCACCAGTTGATGAGGCACGAGATATCTTGACCACAGTGGTACTCGCCCATGTTCCGGTAAGTTACCACGTATTTTCTGTTTGGAGGGAAGAAATAAATTTGTTGTTTTGACAAGCATGTGTATTCATGTTTTATGTGATTCAGATTTTGCCTTAAACTTGACATTTCTTATGAATTTTATCTGCTATGACTGGGGAGGTTCCTTCATCAAGATCAAACAAGGAATACAAAGCACAGCCCATAAAGCTTATAATTCCATTATGGAGATTTTTGTTCGTGCGTGTATTTTTTATTAAGATCGCATATTATCAGCATTCACAGAATGGAAGCAGCTCATTGAAACTGAAGACTGTTCACTCATCTGTGACTTACTGTGTACATGTACTTTGGGACAGTGGCAAAACAGATTTATATTTGTTAATGCTGAACAGTAGTTAAAATATTTAATACGTTAATCACGGAAGTTCTGAAATAGATTGTTCATAGTGGCTACAAATTTGATATTTACTTATTGTATGTGTTGTTGTTCTTATAGGTAGAGAATTTCAACTTTAAAATGAAAGCAACTTACACGGCTCTGATGGTCCGTAGAGTCATTCAAGCCCAAGGTGATACTAAAATTATTGATGATAGAGACTATTATGGAAACAAGAGGCTGGAACTCGCTGGCTCACTGCTTGCACTCATGTTTGAAGATTTATTTAAAAGATTTAATTGGGAAGTAAGAAAAATCTATATGTTCTACGTTAAGTTATTTTAGAAAAATAGTTTTATTCCTTACGTGATCGTACTGTTCACGGTAGATTGTAATTAGTATGTAAATAAATTAATTGTTTGCATAAAGTATGTAAGTTGGGAAGGTCACATCTGTTCATCCATTCATCCGCATTTTCATCTATGAAGGTACTTCACCAATTTTTATTGGTGCTAATTTCATTCTGGCCCATCATTCATTTGTAATCTCTGCTTTTTGTGATGAATCAGATTTCATCAGATATTTTCAGTAGTTCTTGAATTTGTAATTGTGATGTAACATTCTTTTTTAAACTCTTTTACAGTTGAAAATGATAGCGGACAAGAACATTCCTAAGATTAAGGCAGCTCAGTTTGATATTGTGAAACACATGAGACAGGACCAAATCACCAATGGACTTGTCCATGCTATATCTACAGTAAGTTAGTTGCATTTGATGCTCAGTACGCATCGATTCCACATTTTATGCGTACCTACTTTCATCAGAATTACTTTTCTTTAAAAGTTTAGTTGTGACAAATATGAATAATGAGAGCTGTATCCTGAACCAGTTGAATCCGGTCTGTACCCACACATTGTATTTCTTTAAGATCCATTTTAATATTTTCCTTCCATTTTGTGTCTGTCGCCCAACAAAGTACAATTTGCGTAAATAGTTGTTCACTATTTCAGTGATAGGATGATTTTGTATTAACCAAAACTGACAAAAGACTTGTTGCTTCGAGTAGACTGCTTTAGAAACCACAGTTGCGCTGCCTCATTTCGGTTTTAAACCTGTTTTTGACTCTCGAGTATAAATGGTTTGGGCATGACCCAAGTCTAGCTTAACCTAAGGTGGAATGTTCTTGACACAAAACACCAATATGACAGTCTTTTTCACACCATTTTTTGTGTACATAAGTACCATTTAACGTACATCCTTACAGAAATGATAAAACAACATGGAGTCCGGATTAATATTTTCATCTGGCAAGTTAAATATGTGGATGAAAATTAGCAGTTATTTTAATGTTGGCTGTGGCAATTGAAGAATGACTACCTGTCTCGTTGATTTTATGTACCACTCTCGTGTTGTGTGGTTACAGGGTAACTGGACTATAAAGCGATTCAGAATGGAACGACATGGTGTGACACAGGTTTTGTCAAGGCTTTCATACATCTCGGCTCTAGGGATGATGACTCGCGTCAATTCCCAGTTTGAAAAGACGAGGAAAGTCTCTGGTCCTCGGTCGCTGCAACCATCTCAGTGGGGAATGCTGTGTCCCTCTGACACTCCTGAAGGAGAGGTGAGTCAACACACGTAAAAGAATTTACTCGTTCGTTAGAATATGTAGAGACCTCCTTAAATTGTAGTTCCCTGTTACCAGCGACACATGTAGCATATATTTTTGTATCAAATTTCCAGCTTTCACTCACATGGTAATCATCATTACAGATAAAAGAAATTTTCTGTGACTGATGAAGATGGGTTCTTAATTGAGTAAGTAATTCGCTGAATGCAGCAAAGTCCTTCTGGAGGAGCTGATACTTGCTCAGCTGGTTAGATAAATTTCTTGCCATCAATGTATACCATGTCATATACTGTTTAATGTTACGTAGCCTCTGCATTTGTTCGAGTGAAGTTGTTATTCACAGATTATTTGATCATTTGTTTTGCTGTAATGTTACATTCTTTTTGCCTTATTTCTGACGTCTTGTCTCAGGGTTGTGGACTTGTGAAGAACTTAGCTTTGATGACGCATATCACGACCGAAGTTGAAGAAGCGCCTATTATCCGTCTTGCCTTCAACATTGGGGTTGAGGATGTCAATCTTCTGGGTGGAGAAGAAATCAATAGTTCTCAAGTATACATGGTGTTCCTCAACGGTAAGAAATTCTGTGAACCTCTGGCATGCAGATATTTTGAGACAAATTTTATCTATTTTATTATACAGTGAATTATAATATTATGATGTGTTAAAATTAAAATATTTTGGAACAGAAGTAAAAAAAAAATCAAAATTACATTCATGAAGAAATTAAGAACAGATTAAATTTGTGGAATGCTTGTTACCATTCCATTCAGAATGCAAATATTAAAATACGAAAACGTATAATTCTACCTGTTGCATGTGTGATTCTTGTACTTTGTGGTCAGTGTCTGATGTGTAGAAATAGTTTTTGTATTTGAAGTCTTAAGCAACTGCAAATTTCTCGAAATGTTAGAAGGACTTCAATGACCGATGTAGCTCAAACTCAGAATCCAGTATTGCATATAGATTGAGTGTGTTTGAGGATAGGGCACTGAGGAGAATATTTTGTCTGTAAGAGAAGAAATAACAGGAGGATAATGAGGAGTTTCATAATTGTACTCGTATTGATTTGATAGGGGTATCACTGTTTTTGTTAATTGGTTTTACAACTGATGAGTGAATCATTTCAGCTAGGCATATGTGTTAAGTATGTCGACACATTATAAATGTTTTCGTATATTTTTGCCCAGAGCGTGCGTACGTTTGGTTGTGCCACCGTGATATCGGCGTATTTGATCGTTACAGGTAACATATTGGGTGTCATCAGAGATCATCAGCGTCTTGTACGGATATTTCGCCTGATGAGACGCAATGGCTACATTAATGGCTTTGTTTCCATATATCCGCAGCAGCAACACAGATGTGTATATATCAGTTCTGATGGTGGTAGACTTTGTAGGTGAGCTTTTTTGAGCAATAAGAAACACTGAAATGTTTCCGTGTTATAAGACCCCACAGAACTTCCTCATTTTACGTGCTTGGGTCTCCTGATCTCGGTCCTTGGCTATTAGATTTGTATTGCGCCCTATATTCTGTATAGTGGAAACTCCCATTTATGCTTAACTAACTCCAGGGAGCGCAGTCCTTTTTGAGAAACTTATAGTGTGTCAGCTAGTCAAGAAATCCCCCACCTTTTATGAAGTCAAAACGTTGGTCACCGTATTAACAAGAGCCTGCTTTTGTAAATAATTAGTTAATCTGTTAGATGCAACTGTTTAAAATTTGTTTTCTGTTTCTCCTACGCTGGTCTCATCTCCATCCAAATGTCCTCGTCTCATTTTCAGACCTTATATTATAGTGGAGAAGGGAAAGCCTTTGGTAAAGCAATATCACATCAGTGAGCTGATACAGGGTGTCAGGAACTTTGAGGACTTCTTAAATGAAGGTAAATTATGTTTATAATGTTGGTATTACTTTCAAGCATTCCTATATGGTTTCTTGTTTACACACAAGAGTGAAAATTGGCAAACTCATGTTGTTGTTGTTGTTTTTTCATTTTGCTTTTAAACCTTGTTTTAATAGTTTTACAGTAACTGTAACATATTCTGGTGTGTGGTTAGGTCTGATTGAATATCTGGATGTGAATGAAGAGAATGACAGTCACATTGCTCTGAACGAGTCATCTGTCGATGCTCAGGTGACATCACATCTTGAGATCGAGCCCTTCACGCTGTTGGGAGTATGTGCCGGGTTGGTACCGTACCCACACCATAATCAGAGTCCTAGGAACACTTACCAGTGTGCTATGGGGAAACAAGCCATGGGTATGTTTCAGCCCTTCAAAACATTAGGTTTATCTTCTCACATTTGAGCTTTTTTAGAAGGGA